CCACTTAAAATATTTTTACAGAACTATTGTAATATTTGCTGCCATTTCTGCTGTCCTATTGTCCAGCTTACTCTTACAAAAGACATTTTCAATGTTAATGAGATTTTTTTAACTGCATAAATAAAAGTTGTATAAAAGTCACTGCCAAAACCTGATTGCGGCTTCTACCTTGTTACATGAATGTTGTTTGTGGCTCAGTATGACTTTGTGTCATCCATGAGGGATGCATTTCACATGTTTCACATATTATAGCCCAACAAGTTACTTATAGCAGTTTAAATATCACTTTTTGGAAAATACCGGAAATCAGTTTTTGGCAGACAATCACTTTTTGGCACAACACCGGCGGGTTCGCAGCCAGGGCGTGCACTCCGAACGTGCGGGAAGCCAGCAGGATGCGATCCGCTTCTTCAGTCAGGGAGCGGTATTCCTGCGCCGCTAGAAACGGGGAGTTGGCGAGGCCGGTCCTCACAGCGACAGGCAGTTGTCTGAAAAAGAGATGGATGTTTAGGAATCCCCCGTTGTCCGAACCGAGCAAGGACAACATGTTCTCCATGAGCTCAAGAGCCGTGCCTCCGCCCAGGCCGGAGAGGGAGAGAAGCTTCTCGGCGAGCTCGCACCGGAGAGGATGTATCGCCGCAGTAGTAGGTCTCTAAGGGCGACATATTTTCCCGCGCAAAGGCGGTCCCGGGGGAGAGCCATCGCATGGCGGGTGGCTAGCGGGTCGAGCAATGCCACCACATGATTAAATTTCGTGTCGTCAGCGGAGATGCCGTGGAGAGCAAACTGAGCGTCCACGTGGACGAACCATGACGAGGGGTCGTGGAGCCAGAAGTCCCACAACTGGAGCCCCACGCCAAACGTAGCCGTAGCAGGAGGCAGAGAGCCGGCGGTCGTTGGTGTGTCCTGGGCGATCTCCATGGTTCGCCGCGTGCTCAAAGTAGGGTCACCAATATGGAGGCATGTGACACACGACACAGGAGCTCTAGTTTTCCACTCTAACTTTATTCACCTCCATACATCAACTAAGCATATCGCACCCAAACACAACAGAACCCCTCCTCCAAGCTTGGGTGTGAGTGGAGCCCTCTAGTGGGTTGCCACAGTCGAACCAAATTTTGACTTTCAAGCTCGTTAGAACTGTACCAACTCTGTTTTTGCCTTATATACTTTATTTGGATGTTTTTAATAAGTCACCACACCCGTGTCCCTTTTTTCGCTAGTAAAATATGAAGAAATAAAAGCCTCATTCACGATGTCCTACTGGATCTGGTCACATATTGCTGTAAGCTGCCTATTCTTGTACAATCCATGGCACCAGCATCACATTGCAGGCAAGCTGGTCAAAGTTCAAACTGCAGGGGTATAATCAAGCAGCGTCCCCCTGTTACACACACCAATGTGTAGAATGTATGGACAGCTACAGTACATACTGAAAGTAATAAGAAAATACTAAACCAAGGCGATGTGTCATGGTGCAGGATACTGAAGGAGAATAGAAGACTGGAACAAGACCTCG